ACAGGACCGTGCATAGCATTCAAAGCGTCGCGGCGATAATGACAAGGGTCGTAACGCGCACCGAGGACAATCGTGCTGGTAATTTTTTTATCATGGCTGCTGTGGCGGGTTCAGTTATCACCGGTCAACACAACGATCATAGCCGAGGCCAGGAGCAAACAACTTGTCTCGTAGAAGCAGACACCTCTAAAGCAAACTGAAAATTTTCACCACTTGGAGACAGCTAAAAAGATCTTTACTAGGAGGTAGCTACCGACTTACACCTTATATATGTGCAAAGATTTCAAATAGACATGCAGGCGAATCTTAGTGGCTGCAAAAACAGTATAGTCAACGCAAGATTTGAGTCGAAAGCAAGGACAAGATAATGTATCCAACAATTCCTTTTCGCGGAAAGAACTTAGAAAAATGTTATATTTCCAGCGCCTAAAATAGGACAAAATATCGACTTGAATGTTACTGTCCTCCCTTAGGATCCTTACCTTATAAGTGGCTTCTATGCTTTCTATAAGAAGATTAGGTTTCTTATCACTTTCCTGGAAAACTAAAATAGTAATAACTTTTCTAAGTATTCACCCATCACGGTAATCACCTATAGCCAATAGGCTGCTCTTTCATTTTTGTTAGTATCAATTGAGATAGGCTTACAAGTGTACAGTAAGAGGTTTTCGAGCCAAATGATAGCGAAAGGCTTCCGGGTAACGTGCATGGGGCAAAACTCTCCTTTTTTTGCTAAGAAGGCGGAAAGACTTTATTGGAAATTAAATGTATAGCCAGTAAATAGTAGCATTGTAGTGGATAGAGTGGCAAGGAGCATCAATGTTCTCCGTGTCGTAGTTCGGGCTTCGTGATATAACGGCCGCCGAATTCGTCCCTCTTACCGCCCAACATTGAAAATTATTCAGATACGAGCTTGAAGATCATAACTAGTTGTATTGATAACGGAGAGCACCGAAGGGGTTCATTTAGGAGATCACGAACTGACGACTAAGCCACTGACCCATATCTATCGACTCCAGTGACTATTGCCTCTTACGCTCTCTCTTCCGTTTATGTAATGGTCGATACAAACAATTTCCAATAGCGGCGTATGCAGAAGCTGTGACTCGTTGACATCCGGTTGTCCCTGACTTTCCTAATACATGACATGAGATACAGTTCTCAGAGAGGTGGTGCGTGACTGAGGATGAAAAGACCATCTTTTCAGAAACGGAATCAAACGACAAACTGCATTATTCGTGTACCTCTTAAGTACAATTTGTGATCGTTAAAGCTAGTCTTTCCACTGAATTGATAATTTCCCATCGAAGCCTTTCATTTATTCACTATGCGAATATAATACTAAGAGGCAACGTTCTTTCATTTGTGAGCATACCCGCACAAATAAGTGTCAGCTGGAGCTAACGCTGTAACAGGATGAAAGGCCAAGCAGAAGTATTGCATCTTTCCGTTGGCTAGTTTTGGCGATGGCTGCACAGAGTGCGTCTTACAACGGCATCCGGCATATCCTCGAAACAGAACCGCCACCCGAAAAAAAAAAATGCTTTCATCCTTAGTAACATTGGTGAGCATCAAACATAGGGCTAACTTACGCAATGGATGAATCCGAAACGCGACAAACAGTACGACTTCTTTTGGGTTATCCGTTGCAGCATGTGAATTCAGCAGCGCTTCCGGCCCGAGTGTGCCCGACATTGGCCACCAAGCAGAGTCGAGACGCCTCTTTCATCCCACCGTCCTTCACAGGCGTGTCGCCGCCGCCGCCGCCGCCGCCGTCGTCGTCGTCTTCTCACAAGAATACAACAGCGGACAACCACCGTACTACGGCGGCTGCTGCTGCTCCTGCTGCTGCAGCAGCAGCGTTTGCGACTCATAAAATTCCCTCTGAGTCGTGCTGCCACGTCCATTGCTCTGGTGCAGGGGGTGCGCTAGGTACTTAGCCCGCTGCCTGACCGTTTCGGGAGAGTGGCGAGATTGTATTGTCCAGTGTGCTGCGAGTTTTCAATAAGAACACATGGCGAGATAAGGGCGAAGGAGAGAGGCCTTCTGTATGACAACGTATTCCATAGAGGCACGTGTTGTTTGTTTGTTTGTTTGTTGTGTCTGTCATGTGGGCACCCAGCGGTTGGGCGGCCAATGGGCTGGCGGATGAACAGCTCCGGGAAATAGAGCCAGGGGGCCTGTGTGCTAATGAATGGCAAATGCCACGTGGCGGACACTGAAGTTGATATTTCCGCTTCCGCTTGTATTGCGACCCCCTCCACGAAGCGTTTGAATAGAGTGACGCAGATTGGACCATGTGTATGAATGACGAATTTTGACTGGTAACGGTCACTTGCGCCGTGTTTAAATCCGAAAATTGGGGAAAAGTTGTCAAAGAAGCTAAATACAGCCATTGTAAAAGACGGTCTTCTTCCATTTTTCTGGTAACACCATAATCCCAACACTGTGGTTTTTGAGCGAAAAACTTTAACAAGTTATTTTTGCATTTTTTCCATTGAAACTAAATTAATACCATTAAGAAGGTTCCGCAGGAACTGAAGCAACTGATTATCGGACGCAGCAAAATCCAGGCTATACGGCAGATGCACTAAAATTTCCCATCCGATTACTCTCAATTTTTGCCAAATAGCTAAGGAGGTACGTGGTCTAGTAGTACAATGGTAAAAGACGACATCTTTTTTACTCACTAGCTCCCATTCGGCCACTGCAGAAAGCAGCTTCTACAAAATTTCCAGAAACATTGCCGGCCATTTTGTCCGGTAACGTACCTAGACCACACAGAGCACACTTTTTTTTTATAGGCGTGGGAAGCGTTTACGCCTTGATCGTAATAAAACGAAGCTTTGTAAACACTTCGTTTACTTTATTTCAGACGTTTTATCTTTTAAGGCACTTCAGCCATTTTAGCACATCTTCTAGTGCCGAATGGCGCTAACCTGATGCGACCCAAACAGACTGAGATATGTGACTTTTAAACAATAAAAACGATAAATACTTTTTCGACAGCTCAATATTTGACGAGGCTTACTAACCTCAAGTGCTCATGTATATATCGACATATTGGCTAAATGAATCTGTCGTCACCTGTCGCACCCTCGTTGAAACAGGTAGCATGCTAGCTCTGAGGTAAGAGAGCGCTTAACAAAAGAAGAAAAGGCCAAGGGCATATTATTATTATTATACATTACAGTAATCACCAAAAGGCTCGATGCAAATCAAGATGCCCTTACGGTGCGGCACTGGCAGGATGTCTTGAGCGAATCCGTTCGACAAATCGGTGCGAAGCCTCGAGCGTTCCCTGTCATATTCAGGTGATGACGATTATGATCTGTGAAGAGATAGGTCTTACCGCCTCGATGTTACGATGATTTCAAATAGTAGATGAATAGCAACCAGTGATTTTAGAGAAGAACGATGTTTTTTGTCGTTTGTTAGTACTTGTGCGTACACGTGTGCAGTTGGACATACAAGTATGGATAGAAAGTTGTTTCGAAACTCGCTATAGTTAGTTTGGCCGATTGAACCTTTGGTGATATGCTTCATCGTAATCATTATGAGAAAAGCAATGGACACCCGATCGATACTAGACACCAATGAACCCAACAAGTTGCTGACGGGCTCGAGGCAGCAGTCTTCTTTTGGCGGCAATTGTTAACCGATTCTCTCAAGATGACTTGTAAGAGGTCCATGAAGTTGGTGCCTAGTTAGTTAGTTAGTAAAAGTGGCAGCATCGGTCAAATTTGTGTCTTTTCATTATGGGAATTTGTCTGTACAACACGTTAGCCTTGAGATGTGTCTCTGTTTTGTTTGGGACAGACACTCGGTGAGCTGGATAAGAAAGAGACAGTTATTATTACAGAGACGTAAGTAAAGAGGCGGCTAATCGCTGCTTCTGTAGCTTTAGAGCGTATAAAGAAAACAGGACCGACCGAAATTTGCCATGAATCTAGAACACAATTAGATTCTAGCTAACGTTATCGTCAATGAAAACCGGGTGATATAGATAAAAAAATCTGATAGGCCATACACCAGTACTGACCATTGTTTTTTTTATCTCGATTAGGTTAAAGCCACTCCTAAATTGTGCCCTAACGCCGATATACTTAACTTTTTCGAGTGAAGTAACTAATGTTAAATTTAACTATCATACACCTAGCCTTTCTGTGAGCCTTTCGAAAACAAAGCGTATTTTTTCTACAAGTTGTCGGTGCTTCATCGACAGCTACGCTCATGTAGTTTGGGACCAGCGTTTTTTTCTGAACGCTTAAGCGCTGTACCAATGGCTAACCATGGTGCCATTCAAATAGGCTTTTCGTAGAGCGTAACATCTTGCTGCCTGACCTACGAATCGGTCTACGCATCGCTCGCAAATCAAACTACTAACTATTCCGACCTCCATCACCGTCAGTCCTTTATTTATCATAACAGATGACTGCTAACTTCAAAATGCAGGAACTCTAACACGTATTGTTAGGCCTGACCTACCAACGTGGTAGCATTTTTAGAACTCTTTGTCATATTTTACCCACTTTGTTGAAAATCACAAATGTACTGCGATTAGTTAAATAATAACGCGCTAATTAATTTCTCACGCGGTTATTATCATGTGTTAGATATAAAATATAAAGTCATCTTGTAATTTTTTAATGGATCTGATTATTTTAAAACCAATGAAGTCTCAGGCTTATGTATCTGAATAAAGACTGTAGCACACTTTCACAGTCTGGGGGATTTCTGAAGACCAACTAAAAATTTGGACAGAATCAGAAATAGCATCGAAGATCATAAGACTAAGGATACGTTACGTCGATCAAAGACCATTCGAAACACTTGAGAGATCAAAGTAGCTTGATCACCGTCCTGAGAGAGGTGATTGTCTGCATGGATAACGTTTCTATAGTAAGAGACATTAAAAAATGTAATTATTTTCGTACTAATAGCTAGAGTCGTCTATAAAAGAAGCCATTAACAAAAACAAAAAACACTAAAAATAATCCCGAAAGCTTATTTATTGATTCGGACCCAATAATTTTTCTTATAAAAATCGGTCATTGTTGGCATGAATCACCTAGCGTTTCAATGAGGCCATCATTATAATTACTATAGAGACGTAGCACACAATATTTTTTTGCTCGAGTAGTGCATTTAGATCAAAAGATAAAATGTCCTCGTTAGACAACCATTTTATATAATTATCTATCAATATTATATTTCTCATGTATATTCAGGGGCACTATTCATTCACTATTCGTTGCAATATGCCTGATTCCATTTAATCTATCTGCCCTTCTTCCGATCCACGGGAGACGTGATATGATCTGATGGTTTTGTATGGCTGTAGGATGGCAGCTGGGAAACATATTGAGTGGTCATTTGCTCAATGAAGGAAAGTTTTCCTTGATGAAATCGGCAGTCTCGGCAAACGGTATGCCACGGTTCGGAGTGTGAGGTGTAGTACGAGGCACCTGAAATATGTATTGTATTTTTATGAACTAGTACTCAACACAAGAATACCTTAGGCGTTACGTTTCAGGCATTACGTTACATTCATTACGTTACATTGATGATGTGTTTTGCAAATCGCGGATATTGGAAAAACGCTAAATCAAGATGTCTCGTATCCTTAAAAGTCATACTTAGGCTCGAATCTCGACGACGAATCAGTAAAATGCGGTTCCTGTTTATTTCATTATGGCGTTATGAGATGCAATGTTGTACAGTACAAACCATTTGAATGCACTCCGGAATGGGGCATACGGAATAACAGAGGGTACAACCGGTACACGCATCTGTTATAGATGGTAAATGGGTTTCTGCGTCGAATCTGATAGCCTGATAACCGGAATCGTTACAGGCCATATAGCATTTCCCGCAATTAATGCACATGTCATCATTTACAACCGCCACCACCTGTTAGAAATGTCGAGAAAAGCACACTCTCATCATGCACTGAAGTACAATGGCTGTATTTCTCTATGGCTAGGACTGCAGACGTTAGGGAGGATACTGTTTTTAGCATAGCGTTCTGCGTACCTGCTGCTTGAGGTCGAGCTGTCCGAACGCTCCAATTTTGGCTAAACTCTTTCCAACTACGTCTGCAACTTGAGGTACCTGTTCCGATGGCGCAGGCCGCTCTAGGGGCTCTGGAATATCATCCAGGAGATCAAGCTTCATCTGAAAACGGCGTGAAACAATCTTTTTGTAATCATTGCCTGATATGTCCGCCAGTTCTGTGCCGAGGTTATTAGGATTTACAATACTTTGCAATATCATACAAGTAAGCATGTGAAGGCTGAAGAGTTCCCTAACACTGTCCTCAGGTTCATTTAAGTGTTCCGAAGACGCGCTGATCTATTATGTGTCACAATAAATTCATCTATGTTAATGCATAGATCTATAACAATGGCAGGAATATATTATTGTTCACTGACAATACTGCACAAAGTATTTCGTAATCTGATAATACCCCTGCTATGTTAGGGGTGCTTTTACCACATTGTCTTGCTGTCATTGACATAACATCCTAAATACACCGAAAAATAAACCTGTCTAAGGAAACGCTTGGTCAAATGATAATTTAAAGTGTACCTGTCAGATGTTGCAGTAGAAGATAAATTTATGAAGGTTTATATGTAATTGTAGGGGCTTTACAATGACTCATCGTTACATAGCCGAGCAGAACACCGGATAATTTGGACCATGTTTTCACTAAGATTAAGTTCCGCCATTAGCGAACCTTTAACGAAATACAGAATTACTGCGGTTCATTGCAAGAAAAAAGACACATGAGAGAGTCGACGTATAGCAAGCTTGAGCACGGATCTAAGCTCTATTTTTTTGCACATCGATCCAAATTGAATTGGCTCACTTAAATTAGAGTTCACTCTTAACATTAGGTAAACCGTATAAATTCAGGTTATCTGCAAATTCTAACCTAAGAAACCTAAAAATTCGACTTGTAGCCAAAATTGAACCAAATAAGTTTAAAATAGTATCCCTACATTAGATACTCGCTATCCTTTGCCATTTTTCTGCTAGCACCCTAATTCCGTCACGTAAAAATTCTCACTAGTGATCTTTGCGCACCTACAATGATACTAAATTACCACTATTAAGGGAGTTTTACAGAGACCGAAACAGATGACGATAGTCTAATACTGCAAGATTCGAACTTTACGGCATGTGCATTGAAATTTCCTAACGATGTTTTTTCCGGTTAACTAAATAGGTATGTAGTCTGCCATTGTCAAAATGAAAGACGACGCCCTTTCCGTTCATCAACACTGGTCAGTTTTTTAACACTTAGTCAGTCACTTGTTATAACTCTGTCAATTGTTCCAAATGTAAATCATGCTGGCACGCGGCAGACACTTAGATGCACGGCTCGTTTTGAGTCTCATCATTTAGCATCAGTCCGGGCCTTACGACGGATTGTGGAGGTCAATTGTTTTCATTTGCACGTTATTCATACCTGTGATCAATTGCTTTAGAAGTTCAAAAAAGACCCGAAGATTACCCCATTTATATCTAAAACGTGAAGATAAAATAATACTGGCCTAAAATAACTGCCCGTCTAGACACCTGGGAGACAGCTACCTATAACGACCGATGCAGTATCATTAGCACGCATTTAAAGGGAATGCCCTCGCAGGTAGTTCGTCATCCATCTAACACCCTATAAATCTACTTCGTGTAAGAGACTCTAAAAATAGACGTTTTGTGATGATGTACAAAAAATGGAAATAAATTCCGTCAAAGCAAGATATAGCTCAGTCTTGAACCATATAGGCAACCTGCCTGTGCTCTTCACTCTAAAACTGTGTCATTTTTCAGCTGAAATAATAAACCCTGAGGTGGCCAAAGGTCTGGTATGCGATATAGGATTGATGAGCGGTCTGAAGTTATCGAAATTGGCTTGATTTTATTTTATAAACTATACATCTTAAAATATTCCTCTGTTTTGGTAAGATCTACAACATATCAGACACAGTGACGCAGTTATTACTTGCAGAACTTTGCAAAAGCAAATTATAATATTTAATTTTTTTCTCCTAAGGGGGCACACATCTCCCTGCTACAAAAAAAAAGTTCTATAGTAAATTATTTTGCTACTGAGAGGATACATCCGAGAAAAAAGTATTTAAAAACGATCATATCATTTTTGACTATATGATGATCAGTTTTGACCGACCCATTACTACTGATTGAAGCGCAAAAAAAATCCCGTTGATTTTCTTTTCAGGGATTCGAAGCATTTCTATCTAAGCTTCGTCTTGGGGAAGGGTACGAGTGAGATCCAGTCAATTGGATAAATAAGATATTTTTCCAGGAGAGAACAGTAGCTTTTTTCTCTCATATAGCATATTTTTAACAAGCATTGAGATTTTGCGCTAAGTTTATATTGAAAACTTATTTTTCATAATCAATTTTTATGTCTCAGTTTACCCTGTTGAGTGACGACTCTTGCCGAAATAGTAGAAAGTTTACAAAATATAGCCTTTTTTTGGTATCTGATCTATATATTTCGTCTGATTATGTACCATACGGTGTAATATTCCTTTAGTTAATTCACGAACTGACTCATAGGCAATGAAATATGAATTGTTGGAGATAGCTTTTTCCATAATAGAGGGTAATAACAATTCGGATAAGTTGAGCTATTGTTCTGGCGGTTTGACAAACGTTGAAGATCTCAGAGAGGTTTATGTCAAAAAGTCGACCATTTTTTTCCTGCTCTTGTTCTTCAAAGTAGGCATCAAATTTGATTTTAGCCAAAAGCTAAGTTCCTTATATTTCTACTATTGAGGATAAGATAACGATTTCGGTTGAAATGATTGGTTATTGATGAAAAAAGTCATCTGCCAGTTGGGTGAAGAGCTGATTGAAGTTTGGAAACAGGGGAGAGCGCGATAATTGCCTAAGGGTTTGAGTTCTGAGTCGGGTAAAACCTCAAACTCACACCGAGTCCCTAGCCGGAGGTAACCTTACTAATTAATGCAAGTGAAATGAAATTTGTTTAGATTTATATTAGAGATTTAAATAAACACGCGTATTATACTCTATTGTCAATTTTGCTCATGAAACTCAGCTATTTTTTTCCGATGAGAGGATTTACGTAAGGCGTTAACGTTTAAACAAAGCAACCAGTAAACTGGAATGTTTCAATGGGAAATTTCGGATCCATCTCACCGGGGTTATCAAGCACGGTAGTGACGGGGTGAGCAAATATGAAACCGACAAAACCAGAGAAATATGATTAGCAATTGGACAGCTGCGATAAAATAGAATCTCAGGAATATTATCATTAGATATCTGTGAAGGTGCTGGCCTACAATCAAACGATGCTTTACGCCAAGTTAGGTGTTAGCTCGGCTGTATATCTTAGAGACACGTTATAGTCTGGGTTCAAACTCGGCCATATACAGCCTAAGTCGTTTCGTGTTTGATGGATTGCCTAACGTAAAACTCGAAACATTGTGATGAGAACAGGGTTACAGTAATGAATTAATGGCAATGCGGGAAAAGTAAAGAAATTACAAACAAATAAGATGATAGTTACTTGAATCATACGATCGAAGAAGGAGATCACGGCCAGACGATGGGTGCACTGAAGTTGCTTGTAGGTCATGTGGCATCTGATCGATCACTCAAACAGAGTAATAGAACGACTGGACAAATAAAATAGGAGAAGTAATGCTCTAAAGCAATTGCAGTTGGATAGCTGTGCCTGCAATTTAACTCTTATAGTTTATAAAATTAGTTCGCATAGAAACAGGCCGATGAAACAACTCCAAAAAGTTACGGTATAAAAAGGATAGAAAGTGACTGTTGGTGTACAATACAATATATTATAAGTTTACGGTAATGTGGACATGCCATCAACACTAGTTGAATCATGGATTAATTAGATAAGTCAATTCATCAGAACATGGGGCCAGGCGTCCATCTAGTACTCAAGCTTATGACGTATTCTTTTAACTTACTGTTTCTCGATTCTCTCTAGGTTCTCTCTAGGCGCAAACATCGAGAATTTGACTTTCTGCCTCGAGCTAATACTCCCAGGATCCAGTGTAAGTGTGTCAAGGTTTCATGTAATTTTCAGGAATAGATATTGATGCAGTTCTCGTTTTTCTTGAATCTCTTTCGATCGTCGATTTCCAAATATTTTCCTTTAGGCGTTTTTCAAGCTCTAAGCACAGGGATATAAATGTCGTGAGTTTTACTGCAAAAAATGGAATACAAATTTTGACTTATAAGGCTGTATATTATCGCAGTGAAAAGCCAACGACTTATCCTCCTGGGTCTGTTTCGGCTAACAGCATTGCGCAACTTCTCGTAAGACTTCCTGGTAATTCTATTTAGTAATAGCAAAACAGCTTCTTACGTATCCATAGCGCGGTTGCGGAGGGGAAGAAACTGGGTGTTTCAGATAGATCTCGCCGCTTTTTTGCACCTGTGCAGCCAGTCTGAGATGACTCAATTTTTGCACCACAGGCACGCCTCGCCATGTACAATAATATGTTGGAGCAAATCTGGCCCTTTTTGGAAATGTCGGATTCTATCAAAATAGTATGATGTGAAATGGCAAGATAGCTAACTCTTCTGTTAATTTTATTGTAACAAAAAAAAAAGAAAATTCTGTAGAACTAATATCAAGATGTTCTGAGATATGAAAACTAGCCTAGTTGATAACATCACACACACTTTAGATGGTCGTTGGTTCTGCACACAATTTTCATTCATAGTTAAATCAAGATGATATTCCCGTATTCTCTGTCCGACTTACCTTCCTTTTAGCAATTAGCTCCTCCTTAGATTTCTTAAACTTGCCGAAATTGGGCAGCGTGACATCAAGGACAAGTACAGGCTTGCCCTTTTGATGAGGCTCAATAACAGGGCTTTGATTATCCCATTCCTTACAGTGTTGTAGTGCTTTAAGGTATAAGTTGGCTTTAAGACCTGTGACGTAATCATCAATAACGGTGAACTCCTGGAACAATCAGATTGCCGAACTGATAGAATAGGGCGACGTTCGATTTGCAATCATAAAAATCTGGGTTTGGACCTATTGTTTTGCTTAAGCATTTAATTTCAAAATGTCAGCCCAGCCCAGAACACGCGTTACGTTTGACCAGCGTGAAAACGATTAAGATCATTAAGGACAACGTCAGATGATTTCGCTGCAGCAAAATCCTACAGTGTTCCTGGGATATTGGTGCTGAAATCAGCGAATTGGCCCATAGCTTTCAATAATGATCGATGAGCTCTGCGCAATGCATTCGTCATTATGTCT